TTGTATTAGTCAAATAATATGCGTGAGGGTCAAATGTTAAACAGTCTCCCTCTACGATTCACTCCTGTGCAAAAACATTTTACGTTGTAAGTACATTTATGGTAAATTTTATCTATAACGTGTCCAATACATTATCACAGTTATCATTGTCGGAATAAGTTACAATGTATTATAATATATAGACATGTATCGAAATATTATATCTATTAAAAAAAAATTGTGACATATTATAACTATATATATTAATAATTATTATTTATCATATATATTCGAATCTTAGTTATGCAATGTTTTGCTGCAGATACGTCATAAATCAAAGTAATAGATATTATAGCTATAATATTATGTTATTTATTGCGATATAATACTCCAACGATGTATCACGTATAATTATATATATCACACATTTTCACGTATGGAACTCTTGTCGGATATATTTTGCGATGAATAATCCGCATAAATCCAAATGAAAATAACTTTGTAGAGACAGTTGTTCGATAGTTGGAACGACAAGTTTATGAGAAATTTATTCCATAATAAATTTTATACGCGAGCGGTAGACTCAAATCGCGATCCCTGAATCAAAAGTTTAAAAGCGAGATGTTCTCAAGTGCATATCATTAACAGATTATTATATGTAAGCATAATGAATTGATAATTAATTGATCCGATGTTCGATCCTTTCACCAAAGATACTAATTGACTTATGAATATCTATGATTACCGAATTAGTAGCGTATTGCAGTGTGTAATCTCGGATTGAAAATTGATTTTATTCAAAATTATCTCATTCTCACAGTATTCGATTCTTAAAAAAATATTCTATTTAAATTAGTATTTTTGAAAAATATTTGTGATTCTCTCTCATCAATATTCTCTCTCCAATAAATCTTCCAATAAATTCATATACCTATATTCGAATAAATACAACAATTAATAGATGCAATTACGTTTTTATGGTTATTTTATTCTTATTAATCATTTTACTTTATTTTACTTAATTATGCAAAGTTCCACATATATATTTCCATTTTTACATAAAATTAACTTTAATTTATATATTTATTATATATATTATAGATATTTTCTCATTTTCTTCCTTATTATAAATTTTTTCGTAAATAATATTTTAATTGGCACTATTGAACATTTCGATCAATAGAAACTAAAAGATTTGCGTGGTAAAATTTTTAATATTTTACAAAAATACAAGTTATATGAAGGGCAAAAAAAAGGGGCACTTCAATTATTATGTCGGGGCGCATATACCGCGTCCCAAGTCGATGCATACTGCACCCTAACGATAAATCGTGAACGGCCATTATTAATAATAATCGATAAACCAATTACAATATTATTGGATTGCCGCTATCTACAGGTCGGCTGCGTAAAAGACGATTACGTTTCTTTAGCTATAATCTGATATATAGAAACGCTCGAGGCTCGATCCTTTTGCGTGAGCATATCAATACTTTTTTTAACAGCACTTTTAATAGCTCTGCAAGTATCATCCTTGCGATTACGGACTAATTAATCCGATTGTTCAATCAGAGAGATGCGCCTTATGCCTGGATTCCATGGATTCCCTTACGTTCCATAAGCACATCTTATTAGTCTTTTCGGATATATTTTTATATCCTAGTGTCCTGCCTACAACATTAGCAGTCAGCATTTTTACACTACTATTATCTTTTTTCTCTTTAATTTATTTTAAATAAAAAATAAAAAATAAAATTTTAAATATAAATACGTTTATTATAAATTGTAATTTAAGCATAAAAGTGCATGCATATTCATCTTATTAAATTCATTAGATTAAAAAAAAAGAAAATTAGATTTAAACAAATATTTTGATAGAAAAAAAGTAAAAAGTTACACACTATATACGGACAATCTATTTGTAGTTTTCAACAGATGGAACGTTTATATACTTATCACGATATATACTTATATATCGTGAAATAGTATGCAATTTCGACCGCAATTTAATTAGACATTAAAATCTGCGTATACTTGAAGAGATATATGAGTAAGTTTAAAGAATGCAATCGTGGGAAGTCTTTTTAGAAGGGTTAAAATACGAATGCACAATTTGGTCTCGATTTGCATATGGACTCAAGATTTCAAATCTCAATTGATACACTGAAACTATAATATAGCGATTAAATATTTTATAGTAGTCGCAACTATGCGATTAACTTAACACAAAAATTGACGATGAATATTGTTTCTATATAATTCGTTGAAATTTTGATACGATAATTTTGATACGCAGGAGATTTTAATGTTTTACTATGATTCTTTTCTTATACATCTTGAGATGATCGTTTAATTTTTAAAAAAAGATCATAATTGATATAACGATTTGATGCATAATTATGTTAGTTAAGTTATTTAAAATTATTCTTGCATTTATATTTTTCGTCATCAATTCACATATTTTTAACTTGACCAAATAATCTCAAAACTAATTTTATTAACATTCTCAGAAGGCCATGAGAGAATTTCATAACTAAACATTCTGCAAACTATATATTGCAATATGAAACTTGATACCAACAAAGCTATTTCTACAATATTGAGAATGGAAGAAATTATTTTCGTAAATACAGAAGCCTTTTCGAAATTTCGAACTTGAATAGTTTAATTATCGAGCATTAGTAATTATATTAGAGTTGTGTTATTGGCACTTGCAATTAAGATATTTTCCGATTGAACTATTTCCGTATGACAAATATTTAAAAGATGAAAAATTAAAAAATGTTGTTAAACCAATCAACACTATTACATTGTGGAAAAATATGCTACAGACATCGCTGTGTGTTATACATTTAGTGTGCTAAAAACTAACTTAAGCGATATCTATATCTAGTTGCATGTTTCATTCCATGAAATGACTTTAGCTAACATACTTTCTTGCAATTGCCACCAATTATAATAATTTCAATCTTAAATCATGATCCATACAACTTCTTACATTTAATTTACATACAATTTGTTTTCAAGAAAAGAATGTCACACAAATTGTCTTTTTATATTATATTATAGATAATATAATTTATAGATAATATAACTTTCTCTCGATATTAAAACATAATTATACTAAAAAAATAATTATAACTAAAAAAAATCATTCAATTACCCTCTTTTTTTCTGTATTTTTACTGTCACATTTTTGTAAACCAAATTTTAATTGTTCTATTATTCCATTGATATACAATATAATAATTTGAAATTGTCAATTAAATAAAAATGCAGAAGATAAACGTGATGTTTATGTACATTGAAATAAACAACAATTTTCAATACTTTTACAATGAACAATTTTCGAGAACATTGTTCGAGTTGAGATTGTGCCTTTAATCTTTTAATTCTTTATTGTTTGTAATTCAATTGGCTGATGAAAACTAAATAATGCATCATATATTGTGTATCTTTTAAATATTAGACTATTTTTAAATTTATTCGTTTTGACATTTTAATAAAGCAGTTTTATAATTTGACCTAATATTTGCTTTTGTACATACTGACCTGTTTATCACATTTATTGTTTTACATTAGAATCTTGAGTTTGAAATTTAACTATTGTTCGGGTTTTTCTGCTTATAATAATGCAGAATAACCGTTATATATATTATATATTATGATTGATTTTAAAGACGGTGCCATGTGGTGCATAAATGTACTTGTAATTATTGTCGTGTAAAATCGAAAGAAATATCGATAAAATCAATAAATTACTTTTCACGAAAATATTAGACTAGTCCGCTGATAACAGACCCCTGCATATCGCTCACCTATTCTGTATAGTGAATCACCGGCGGCAGTTCCGAGCATCGCATCGTTTCCAAACCTGAATGGCGACCACTTGAAAAACTTATGCAATGACGCGTGCCAACGCAAAAACATGTTCATTCAAGATTTTCGCCATGACTGACATTGCACTTGCTCCCAAATTTATGTTTCTATTTTTTGCATTAGCTTTCTTGTTGCTAATTATAAATTGTTGTTGATTATTATGTTAATCAAGATTTTTCCTACTTAATAAAATTATAATTTACCATTAATTTTCATTGCAATTAATGGCGATAATAAAATGATTTGTTTCTATTATAAATTAATAATTGAAATTTACTTACTTATATAGTAAAATAAGTATTGTTTTATTAATATATATGTAGATTTTGTGCCAACTATAAAGTATAAAATTTTTATAAATCCCAAATAAATTACATTGCTGTCTTATTATTTGATGCTCATTCGAATTATGAGTATTCAATTTACGTAATGTCATATGTTAATAGTGTCTTGAGTTCACTATTTTATTGATGTAAGAAACTATGGAATCAATAAAACTTACTCCTATTTATTCTTATTCCTTACCTCTACGAGTAATAAAGCCTATTACTACAGCATGAAAGCCTATGTAAGGTTAAAATCTATTGTACTAATAATTACATATATATGTACACTAATATACAGCATAATGTACATTTATTTTAATACTTTTTTTATGTAAAAAGATAAATTTTATTTTGCACTATAAACATGCATTAATGTTTCATTTCTCCTCTCATATACAAACACATTGGCGTGTGCGCGCGCATTATTTACGCACCTACTCAGCGTCCTAATATA